CCGCGCCTACCGGGGACAGAGAACACCAGCGCCCGCAGCCCCGGAGTTCTCTGTCCCCGGCAGGTGCGGGTCCGCGGCTTCTCTCCAGCTTAAGCTGTGGCCACGCGCCTGCCTGGGACCGAGAACACCGGCGCCCGCAGCCTGCAGCCCCGGAGTTCTCTGTCCCCGGCAGGCGCGGGGCCACGGCATCTCTCCCCTGCTGGGCACTAGGCGGGCCCCATGCCTGCCGGGAACAGAGAACACCACGCCCGCAGCCTGAGTTCTCTGTCCCCATCAGGTGTGGGGCCGCGGCTCCTCTCCCCTGCTGGGCACTAGGCGGGCGCTCATAAATGCCCCGGCGGGCGCCATGGCGCCCACAGGAACCGCGTTGGGGACCACTGCTGTACAGGATGGGGGATGGGCAGTGTAGATGCCCACAACCACAGTCAATTATAAAGCATTACATCTTGGGAGCTCCCTGTGTGGAGCTGTATTTTGAGAATGGGACAGTGAAGTCAAAGATTCACCAGCAAAATTTTACCACAAAGAGGGCAATGTTTGCGGCAACTGAAAGGGTTGTTCATCCACACTGAAGGCCGAGGGTCTCTCCGATGGACAGCCCATGACTCTAGCTGTTTCAAGTCACACTTTGCATTGTGACCAGCATCACCAGGGCCAGCTCTAGGCACCAGCAAACCAAGCACATGCTTGGGGCAGCACAATTTCAGGGGCGGCATTCCGGACAATTTTTTTTTTTTCCTTCGGCAGTTGCGCTCCCAGAGGTTTTTTTTTGCTTGGGGTGGCAAAAACCCTAGAGCCGGCCCTGAGCATCACGTGAGCATCTATTTTTACTGTACCACGTATGTGACAGCAATATCCACGTGATAAATTGCAGAACTATGTGAAGAAGTGCATGTATCATGATGGACTCTCACCTGCACTCTGATCACTCAGCTCTTTCTGCCAGTGCCATTGTCATTATTCCAAAACTCCAAAAAGCCAAGTTTTTTTCTAAGTAACCTGACTCAGACATGTTTTCCTCCTTTCGCTCCAAATGTTGAACCTCCTTTTCCCCTCCTACAAATTACGTTGGCCTGATGTCCAGCACAGTTAATGCTGGACCCGTGACAGACTTATTTCTGAGGAAATGAAACTATTCCAAACTCATGCTGATAATACTTTTATACTATCATAGCATGTCCGTTTAGACACATATTGCAACTGTAAAGTATTAATAGAATGAAACAATCTAATTTTCTCATTTCTTCATAGAAAGCTTGCTTTCAAAAAAAAAAAGCAGGCAAATTCTGTTATTTTTTAATAGTCTGAAAACAACTGTAGCAAATAAGTACTACGTGTTCACTGGCCAAAGTGGCTGGAATGAAGATGAAATAAATCACCCTTGTTACATTTATTTTCTGAAATACTTAATTTTTTGTTGGAAAGATCATAATTTTTTTTTTTATAGCTGGTAGAGTAAAAGTGACATTTGTAACCTGAAAGCCAGGTTTGTGTTTTCATAACAGCCCCGGTATTGTAAGACACTCAGCTATCCAATACCATTTTGTGATTTGGTTTTACAATGCGGATTTTTATGAACAATTTTAGAACAAAGAGTGCATTTAAATCGACAGCACACAAACCTGTCAATGTAATCCCTAATTTAGAATGACACCAATTTCTGTTTGGTATCGCACTGTACTTAAAATCATTCTGCAATGCTCCATATGGCAAAAACATACACTATTAATTGCCACAGATTTTTAAAATTATTTACAAGAATGCAAACACAGTTAAAACTAATTGTCGAGCATAGTAGGATTGAAGTAATGCATATCTGACCAAAAAAAAAACCAACACATTTTTATCAGTGTGATAGATTTTTCATTAATAAGCTCTGCGTTGCCTGTATCCATAGCAACTAATAAAGAAGTCACAAAGATAAAAGCTCTAATTAAAAACATAAATGGCTAGAAATTGTTTACAACCTTTATTTCATAGCTCACCACATTCAAGCTATCACAGAATCATGCCCACTTCAATGTATATATCATGACTATTTTTTGTAAAGCAATGAACTACTGTTTTTAATGCAAGAGGGGCCTTTAGAAGGCAGGATTTAGACCAGGAAAATATTTACATTTCAGTTTGTTCTGCCCCTTCATTTAGAAAGGACATACAGAAATTGGCTATGGGCAACTTCATTTCTCTATCCCCAATTCCATTTTCTGTTGTCCAGCCTTGCTGCTCCATCCCACACTGAGTGTGTGTGTGTGTTATATTCACTTTTCAGGTTGCAAATCTCAGAGAATAAGACGACAGTACAGAGCAGTTGGCTTCTCCTCCGTTAGGCTCCACCCATGTTCTTTGTGCTTTGCCCATGCACAGGCTGACACTCAACGTGACACTCAAAAGTGAATTGAGTACCTTCATTTTGCAGTGGTGCACAGAGTAGAATGGGAAAGAGAGGCTCAGGAAATCAAATACAGAAGCAAGCATTCAAAACATGGTACCATGTTCTCTGCAGAGACTAGCTCACTGAAGTCAATAGGAATCTCTCTCTAGACTTCCATGGCCTTTTGCTCAGACCCCAGCAGTACAGCAGGGCAGATGGCTGTGTGTATATCTAGGTTTTTAATTATACTGTTGGATTGCCAAACTGTCTGAGACAGTGAGATTTGAACCTATGATCTAAAAGAGAGAAATGGCAGAAAAGGGTAACTGGTACTTTGGCCTGTTTAAGGGCACATTTGAGGCATTTTAAACTCATTTCCCATGTAATGCAGGATTTGGGACATATTTCTCAGTTTGTCTGTTGCATTTATGATTGTCACCTATACAAAAACAGACATTTCAGGAAAAGTAGAACAAAAATGATGGAAATAAAATTCTGTTCAAAGCTACACTAGACCACCAGATAAGCACAAAACATGTTCCAAAGAAACACACACTCAATGTGGATGTGACAGAATGTACAAAAACAGACAATTTTTCATTGACATTAATCCAAAACGACACCCACTGAGACAGAGAGTCAAAATACGCATTAAATTACAGTAACATCACCAGATGGACATTAAAAATAGGCTTAACTGCTCACAAAAAGTATGCTACTACCTTTAGCAAGCAGAATTGCCTAATTTACACATGTAACAAAGGATGTATTTTAAGTTATATAATAGAGGTTGCAATAGTTAGCCAATTAAAAAGTTACACATTTCCTCAAATCTGAAAAAAAAAAATTCAAGTTTTAAAAACGTTAAAGAACTGTGGAGCTATGCGGTGAGATTCTAGCTGGGAAATACAAAGACAAGGGCAAGTGCAGAAGATGGCATTTAATATTTTATCCATCCCTCCTTTACCAGAAAACAACTCAGTCTTGACATCTCTCCTTTGAACACAATCTTGAACTGAGGCTATTGCGTCTCTGTG